CAGATTTTTTTTTTTTTTTGCCTGTCTCAAACCATTGGGAGTGTCACAAAGTATCTCAGGGATCTGTAATGACTTTGGTCTGGATTCTAAAATGAGATAAAAGTAGGACACAAACTTTATTTCTAAACACAGAAACTACATCTATTAAAAATGAAAAAGTTCATCTTGTTTATCTGTTTTAACTTCCTGAACCAATTAAATGTACAATCATCCTTTGGATCAATGGCTTGTATGAGTGACCAAATGAAAAAACTTACTTTTGACATCTCTTGGCCAATGAGTAAAGTATGAGGGTTGATAATGTCAGTATATTCTGCTTAGAACTACATAAGCTGGTGTTTAAACCCAGTAATCATTTGCTCATGTATCCCATAAATCCATTAAAAAAAAAAGCACTACAAAATACAAAATTCTCCATCTGTGGTGTGTATGTTATCAATGACACCTGGCTACCAGGATCAAAATTAGACAAAAAAAAAAGTCTTAAGAGATTATGAATATACCAATTTTTCCCAAAATTTCTAACTTCATTACTAAAAACTACTCATGCTCTTATTTCATCACCCATCAGATCTGTGCCTAAAGTCTTTCATTTGCTTAAAATGCCAACAACAATATCATGAAATTATTCAGTTAACAAATATACATGTTAAAATCTAAAGACTTTCAATGTATCTATTACTATATTACTTTCGAGTTATTAGCACAGGGCTGTGTACAATTTGAACACTTGTTTCAAAGTCCTTCATTTACAAATGACCAAACTGAGGCCTACAACAACTATCAAGTGTTTATAATCTCCACATAATGTCCTAGTGACAGCTAGGACAGAAACGCATCTCTTAATTCCAGACCAAAGTACTTTACATTATAGGTGTATAGTGTATAGAAGTTGGTGAGAATAAATAAACTACCTGCAAATAAATGCATTTTGTATGACCACTTTTTCTAATTATAGTATAATGTTTAGAAAGTCCAGAAGCTTAAAACAACCTAACACGTGTTTTTGATCATTTATAATCCAACACACTTTTTAAAAAACAGGGAAAAAATCACCTTATTTTCACTTTTAAAACTGGCAAAAAGAATTTCAAGTAGCTGGACAGACATTTCAAATATAAACCCTCTTATACACCACGTTTCTCTTTTCTAGTGGACAATTTAGCAAAAAGAACAAACCTTAAAATTTGCCTTATATATATATTTTTTAAAGATTTATTTATTTATTTATTCATACAGAACTGGGGTACAGGCCAGAAATGTGGAGGGTGAGAGGATTCACCAGAGACAGAGTGGGGAGCAGAACAGGCAGATCCAGGGAGTACACTGCTGAGGGGAGCGGAGGGCGAGACAGGAGAGGTCTGCTGCTGCCCTGCAACACGTGGATCTCCTCCAGGGCAGGTGGGGATCGAACTCATGCTGAAGTGGCTTTAGCTCCTTAGTGCTATGCTTTAACCTGCTGCACCACCAGGGAGGGCCCAAAATTTGCCTATATTTTAACTCTATCCTTATACAACCTCTCAAGGAAAAAGTACTCGATTTGGAAGAAGGAAGAAAGAACTCATATGAAAAGCCATGTTGTTCAGAAATACCAGACGTATATCCAACAATAGTAGGCAGATTAAAAACTAAAGTATCTTGTAAACTGAATAGAATGTAGCCATTAAAATGTATGTTCCGGGAAATATTTAATGACAGGAAAATATTCACAGTATATTAGGCTGTAATATTTACAGTGCAATGCCATTCTGCTGAGAATGTACATGCATAATAAATCACATACTACCTGTGTAAAATCATTTATCACAGAGCTGGGCACATAGTAAAAATCCAATAAATGAATAAATTCAGCTTTAAAGATAAGGCTTGCTTATATATTAAATGTTAAGATTTGTTATCTGAAGTAGGAATTCAAATAATAATTATTTATTCACTTTAAAGACAATTTGTACATTACTTGAAATAAACCATTATTCCACATGAAGGGGACTCTTTAAAATTTCAATTTAACAAAAATAATTAACTATTCTTTTAATGCACTTCTAATTCCTAGTAAAGTTTAGAGAAGAAAAATAAACTCTACCAACCTTCCCCGAGTTTGGCACTGCATAAAAACAAAGCTTTACATACAACATAATCTTCACTAAGTCTTAATTAAATTTATATTCTCTATCAACTTCTGAGAGCTGTCTATCTCTCTACACAGAATTCAAATTTCAAAGAGGACATACACTAGAGGACTTCAAAATGAGATTTCTAAAGACCTTACAAGGATTTTACCACAATGGCTCTCTCAATAAGATTACAATTTCCCAAGATATGTGAGAAAAACATTCCAATGTTAAGAACAGTCTCTACTGCAATTAAATTGTGAGTTTAAAAAAAAGGAATATATGTATGTATGTATGTATGTGTATACATATATATACACACACATAAGGCACAAATAAAATTCACATTACATGGCAGTTTAAAACCATGCTAAAGCTGTAAGTGCATCTACAGTAATATATCTTGTTTCTTCAAAATATGTATGGTTTAAATAATGAATTGCCATTTCAAGCTATCACATTTTAAAGATTTCCAGATGAACACATCACTTTCAAAAATAGATCTTTTAAAGTAAAACCTTAAACCTTAGGAGTATGTCCCTATGAATAGTCAACACTTCATAGCAAAATAGTAAAAAAAAAAAAAATAAAAAATAAAAAAAGTTAATTACTCATGTCCTATAACAACACAAGAAAGTTCTTAGGGAATAACATTAGTTAAAATAGGACAAATTTAATGGGGGGGGGGGATACCCTGGACAATGTGATGGCACACGGGTGATTTGGTGATGGGAAGCCCATGAGGATAACTACTGAGATGGAAAAATGCACAAAATGATGTAAAAATAAACTATTCTATATTTTTTAAAAACTAGGATACATTTGTGGAAACAGAATTTTAAAAGTATGGGTGAGAAAATTTCCAAGTAGTTCCATATTAATTATTAAATGTAAGTTAAAAACAATTTTCTCAATAAAAACTGGTGTTTCAAATACCAGCATATTTGGGGTTAAAACACTGGGAATTTTTACTCTTTGGTATTGTAATGGCTTGATGTATCATAGACTGGTAATACCTTGCCAAATACTTGCACTCTCATTTTGTCCCTGAGAAGTATTACAGAAAGAACCCATTTAGAAACAATATATTTGACATGTGTATCAATTCACATTCTCCCTTATTTTCTATTTGCTGCACCAAGGAGACAATATTTTATTTTAAATATGATTACTAATCCTTTCCCACCTCTAAAATAAACTTGACATTTTTATCCAAGCTACTTTCCAAAATGAGACCAGTAAAAACTACAGTCATTAAGTGCAGGGATGTTAGCAGTTTTTCTCCTAACTGTTATCTGAGATACTTCTTGATCTCTCTCAAAGTAGGACTAATCTGCGGAAAGCAGTGAGACAGTGTATTGCACTGTGAATGGACAGCCAGGTATTTTATGAATGGAGGCGATCACGTGATCCCAGCACCTCCCCGAACAGATATTTCCCACATAACTGTGTCAACATTCTGAGAACAGGGGTAGTTGTTTGTGTGTGCTTGACTTGTAATTTAACATGTAACTTAGAATTTCCCTTACTTTCTGAACTTAAAACCGGACAGAAGATGGACGGTCAAATATCGATTTTTTTCTTGGGAAATCCTTTCAAGATGTCCAAGGTGATGGGTGTTTAATTATTTTTTTTATGAATGAAGACTGTGCTATGCAAATGAGGACGATTCACAAAAAGAGAGAGAACATGGCGGCCACTTCTGCTTCTTGACTGCACTGACACTGCAGCAATCTACCTTCTCCCACACGCTCATCAGAAGAGTGTGTTGGGGGGGGGGGCGTCTGGGGGGAACGCTGCTTGACATTTTTCGAGCTTTTTTACGTTAAACAGACTTAGGTTTGGGACTTTAAAGTTCTCTCAAAAAAGGTCAGACTTGAGGAATGCACTTTATTTAAAGGAATGCATCCCAGGACTAGTCTTAATTCATTTAACTCTTTCCAACCCTCCAAAGGTAAACAAAACTAACTTAATTACAAGAAAACGGATGCTAATATTCTGAGTGGAATTAAATCCCGTCTCCACAGAAAAAAGGCTACTGCACGATTATACTTGCAGGCAGCTGTTAGGTTCAGCAATATTTAAAAGGCAAAGTATTTCATTTAGAAAACACAGCCCAAATAAACAAAAACTTAAATCGGGAAGCTCTAGAAATTAATGAACACATCAACTTATTCAGTAATATAAATGCCATAAAGTCAATGTAAACCATACAGCTTAGGGATAAAAATTAGCATTTAAGTTTCCACATGTTCTTGATAAAAACATGCCCACTATTCACCAAGGTAAAATATAATAGTTCAACATCTCCCCCCCCCCCGAGGTGTCTTAATCCTATTAAATTCTAAAAATGTCTTAGCTACATTTTTTACAAAAATCTCACAGGTCATAAGTTTAAGGGGGGAGGGGAAGACTTAATCGGTATTAAGAGTCACTGACTCATCGAATTAAGATTCAAGAGCAGTTTGCAGCAAGAGGTGCTCCCACACATTAGTTTCCAAGTGAAATCGCTTTAAAGCAGCAGGCTGGGTATTCGGGGTGTGCTAATTGGTATGCAAAAGTGAAAAAGGGCAGCTCAGGGGTCGTCCAGCAAAGGGGGCAATAACCACCCGGCCTGCGTGCATCCACTTGAGCAGATCTCAAGGGTATACGAGTGCCACCCCACCCCAACACTCAATACCCCACCCCAGAGGAAGGCAACTTAGAGTGGGGAGGGTTCTGCCATTAAATAAAATGGCTAAGGAAATCAATTGGTATGTTCAGAACTAGATGCATCGAACTCTCTGGGGCTGTAAGCTTTTCGGCACCCAAGTCTTAAGGGTCTAGGGGAGTGCGGGGAAGGGATGGGGGGGAGGGGGGTCAAGTAATCAAGATCAATGAGGCGCTTACTCGTTGTCAGAAGTCGCCGTCTCCTCGCTCATCTTTCCCTCACCGTGATCCGATCTGGAGATGGAGCAACAGCAAGCGGAGGAGCAGCAGCAGCAGCAGCACCGACGGGCAGGAGGCAGCGGAGGCCGGGGGGGCGCGGGGGCAGCGGCTCAGGGGCCTCACCATGGTGGATGCCTCACTCGGAACGGTGCCCCCCCAGCCGGGAACTCCGACCACCCCCACAAGGGGGTGGCGGCAACAACCTCCTCCGTGGCGACCCCAGCCTCTTCCCCCACCTCAGCGCCCAGCCCGGGGATCCGAGGAGGCCGGGAGGGTAGTGGGCAAGGAAAAGGAAGCGGGTCTGCGAAGGCTGGCTGGAGAGCTGCTCCTCTGGTCACCGGGGTGGAGCGCAGCGGGGTCCGGCCAGGAAGGAGCGTGCGGGCGGGCGGAGAAGCCGGGAGCAGAGGCGGCGCTTCCCTCAGGGATGCGGCGAGGAAGCAGAGCTCCGCTCGGTGGGGGCCGGCGGGGGGGTGCCGAGCCCAGGCTCCGGGCAGCGGCGGCGCGGTCCTGCCCGAGCCCACCCCACCATCTCCCGCCTCGCCGTCGGCTGCCCGCTCAACCCCCGGCGGTGACCGGGCGGTCCTCAGAAACGAGTAGAACCGGTGAGGGGCCTGGCCGCGGCGGATTCCTCCAGACACGCTCCAGCCGGGACGACTTCAGAAGGGGGAGGAGGGGGCGGAGGGGAGCGTGTGGGGCGGGGGCCGGCGAGAGCCCCAACCCGAGCCGGAGACGAGCGGGCGCGCCCGGAGAGCAAGGTCCCGGGCCGCGGCAGGAGAGCGACGAGAGCGGCCGCAGGTCCCCGCCAGCCGGTGCCCACCAGTAGCTCGGCGGGGCAGCTCCTCACGCCCGCCCGAGGGGAGCCGCGAGGGGGGCGGCGGAAGCGCTCACGCCGCCCGCTCCTTCCGCCGCCGCCGCTGCCCGAACCGGGGGCGCCCGCGGGAGAAGGAGGCGAAGTAGTCCCTGGCGACTTCTCCCGGGCGCCTGCTTCCACCCGGGCCAGAGCGGGCACGGGGTGAGGTCGCCGAGCGGGGTGACTGGGTTGTGAGGGCGTGTGGGTAAGAAGACTAAAAGCTGCGGCCTCCGGGCGAATCACTGCAACTCGAAGTCGTGTGCAGCATAGCAAGTTTCAGGAAAGTAGTTCCCCCCTCCCTTCATTTCCCAAATCGTTGTCGAGCCACTGAGCGGGGAAAGGAGGAGGGAGGCGGAGGGATACGACAGGCACTGTGCTTGGTCTGCGTGCGCGCGCTCCAAACTCTTGGCACGCTGCGAAAGGGGGCGGGGGTGTGAGCTGCACGGCGAGCTGCCTGGGAGGCTGCCTTGTTGCGGGGCTCTACTCCCGTTACTCGCTTTGGAATATCCGGATTGTTTGAACCCAGATGCCAGAATGACAGTATGCACAGGGATGAGATTTGGAACCTACTCATTTCTGCCGTTTGTGTGTGTCTGTGTGTGTGCACGCGCGTGTGTTCCTTGCATAGCAAAGAATGGAACTAACATGAGTTCATCTTTAGTTGGTGGGGGTTAGAGGGAGGGACTGTACAAAGAGAGCTCCGCCTGCTGTCCCTCTGGTTGCATTGCTGCAGTCCCCAAGCTGCATGCACAGCAGGAGTTTGTGGTGTGTGTATGTAAACGGGAGCGCGCGCGCGCGCGCGTGTGTTAGAGAAATAGTTATAATACCTTGGATTCTTACTGCGCAAGGGGCATTACTGTGCTGGGCATTCATTCCCGAAAGCTACAGTGGTTGTTAATGGAGAACGACTTCCATTGAAGCCCGGGGTAGGCGTGTTACAGGAATCTGGCGCAGCCAGAAGCACAGGAAATAACTCCCGCTGCGAAGTGAGGTTGCATAACTATAGCGCAGAAGATGCCTCTGTGGCACGAACTGCTTTGAACGGAGGCGGAACGATTATTGAATTGGCAGCTGTCACGTTTGCATTGTTAGAAAACGATGTATACTTTCATCTCAAAAGATTTTGGACTGAAACCTGCTAGGGTTGAGGATTGCAAACTAGGGTCTGAGGGACCAGAGCATTCAAGCTCCTCGCTCTGCAAATTCTATTTTCTCTTTTCTACATAGAAAAACAAACTATACATGTTCTGTCTGGGACACAGTCACAAGCGCTCCAAAGTTCCTGACTCATCTCCCTTAGGTATCAATCTAGCTCTATATCCACTGCTTTCATTGTCAGATTTCTGCAACCTGAGAATGAAGATTGCAGCTCCTGCCACCTTGAGGGATAAAATAATTCCGGAGGAAGGAAAAAAGCGCAAGAACCTCCCAAACAAGCCAGCACTTCTCATTTGTCATCCTTCTCCAGAAAATTTCAGTACTGTTCTCAGGAGCGCATACTTTGAAGCCTGTGAACTGTTTTGCACATAGTAGGCACTTAATAATGTTTGATGAGTTAATAAAGGTGCAAAATCATGCCGCTAATTTTTGAGGTTTCTCTTGTAACTCTTGTATCCTGTCCGGGCAGCAGCGCTGCCCTTATTTGGAGTGAAGGAGACACAATGTTGGACAGGAAGAAGTGAGGTGATCTGCTGTAGTCACACCTTTCCTCTTTTTCCTTTGAACCTAGGATTTCTATCTTGTTCCTGTGCAGAACCTGGGAATGTTGGTAGTGGCCTTCTCTCCTTCCATTGGTCACAGCTGAATCAAGCCCCATCACATAATTTGTGTGTTCTAAATCAGTTGCTTGAACTCTGTGTCTGTATAAAATGGGAATAATAGTACCTGATTCATAGAGCTGCTGTCCTGACTAGTGAGTTAATAACAATAAATAATAAAAAAATTAGAACAAACTGAGTTCAATAAATCCTAACTTTTACTATAATTTTGTTAAGGAGCATAGTAATCAACACTGACTACCATTAAATCTTGCTCTGCAGATTTAATGTAAAGCATTCAGTATCCTTGTTCATTTATTCATCAAATACCAGTTTTCTCCTGTGTGGTACTACCATTTAGCCATCAATAAAGGGTAGCTCTCAGAGCGATTATTATTAAATAAGTACAAGGAAAGTTGGATCATTTGCAAAGGCCTTATTCTTTCGAAGAAGATTTGACTCTGAGGTTCAAATGCCTCAGGGAAATAATTATAAGCTCTGGGAGAATATGTGATGAATGTTTTGTCTGTCATGTATGTGCAAGGCATTGTGCTGGCCACTTTTTACACAGATTGCTAAAGCAGCAAGATATGCTCAATAGCCCTAGAATGCTTTTTTTTTTTTAAAGATTTATTTATTTGTGCATACAGAACTGGGGCACAGGCCAGAGGTGCAGGGGTGGTAAGAGGCTTCACCAGAGACAGAGTGGGAAGCAGAATGGCAGATCGATGAAGTACACTGCTGAGGGGAGCAGTGGGCAGGTCAGGAGAGGTCTGCCGTGCCATGTGGGTCACCTCCAGGGCCAGGGATTGAACTCATGCTGAAGTGGATTAGCTTCTTAGTGCTGTGCTTTAACCTGCTGAGCCACCAGGGAGGGCCCTCAATAGCCCTAGAATGCTTTTTAAACTGTTCTTAAGCCCATGGCCAAAGTTGGTCACTAAACCAATCATTGTCAGTAGTAGTCTTCTCCATGCCATTCCCTGGATGCTTCTGTGCTCTTTTCAACAGTGCATTTGTAGTTCTCTTCTCTCATGCACTTGTTGAAATTATTACCAACTTAAAAAAAAATTATCTTGGTCTATCCAGAATGCCAGTGAGCTTTCTTTTCTGAAATCATTAGAAGTTGTCCTGACATGAGGCTTAGGGCTCAGGGGTCTTCTAGTCTGACTTTCTATTAGCAACCGCCTTAGACTCAAGAAGCCTTACCTTCTTTATCCCAGTTCCTGGACTTGGGAACCAAATGCATTGTATGTGGATTCTGGATTCTTGGAGGCTGGTTTGAACAAATATTTTAAAAATCGACATAATTGAGGAAATAGCACTAACTGACAATGGGTGATAGTAAAAAATTGTTTTAAGTATTAGTGTTGTGTTTGTGTGTTTTAAATCCTTATCATTCAGAAGTACATATTGAAATGTTTAAGGTGCAATAAGCTATTTGAGATTTGCTTCAAGAAAATCCAGTAGGGTAAAGAGTAGGGAGAAATAGGTAAGGATAGGGATGAAACAAGATTAGTTATGGATTGATTATGAGTGCATTCTCTTTACCATTTTATAAATAGTTGAACCATCAACATGAGTTTGAACTTCAGTGGTCCACTTATATTTGCATAGGATTCTGTGTTCGCAGATTAAAACAACCTTGGATATGGGTTAGTTGGGTAGATCCCTAGAGACCCAATCAGAGATTGTGATTAGCAGATCTAGAATGGGACTGGCAACTCTTCTGTACCAGAAGTATGTCCCATACTTGGCCCTTCATGGTTCACAGTCTTCTTCCTCTTTCCTTGCAACTATTGGGTTGTTGGAAAAGTCAGGACATATTTTTCCTATGTTTTCTATGTAAAAATCCATCATGACTTGTCCAACAACCCAATGTTAATCCTATTTCCAAACACAATCTTAATTGAAACCTGGCCCAAAGTATATCGTAGGCTCAGGTAGTTTATTGGTCAAGACCCAAAGGTTAGTTTACCTTTCAGAGAAAGATCTGTTTCATCTTAAGTTCCAACTCCATGTAATTTGTATTATTACCAATGAGTATTAGTCTAGAAGAATTCTGAGAACTCTTAGGGTAGCAGGGCAGGGAACACTTGTATTTGTTCGGTTGTCTTTTCTCAGGTGAATCTATATGAAGGAAGTTGTCAGAATAGTTGATATTCACAGGTAGCTCTCAATACTATTGTATTCATTTTGGGAATTAGCCACAGCCATTTAACAATCTGTCACAGATGATTTATTATCAAAAGTGTCCATGGTAACACAATTGCCAAGTAAATACCATTGCAGATCTTCCTCAACTTATAATGGAGTTAACTCAGGAGTAAACACATTGTAAGTTAAAAATATCGCTAAGTCAAAAAAAATTATATATATATATATATATATATATCACTAAGTCAGAGTCCTCTCACATACACTCACCCACCTCCAAGTATTTGGTCTGCACCCTTATGTCGCAGTTCTTGAGTAAATAAAACCAAGTCTTAAAAAAATACACTGCTAAGTCAAAAATGTACTTAATGCATATAAGCTACCAAACAGCATAACCTAGCCTAACCTAGCCTACCTTAAACATTCTCAGAATATTTACACGAGCCTATAGTTGAGCTTTAAAGCACCTAAGCAAAGTCTATTTATAAGGTGTTGATTATCCCAAGTAATTTATTGAATACTGTGCTGAAAGTGACAAACAGTTTGCAGACTATAAACTGTTTGTCTAGTGATTTGGAAGCTGAGTGGGAGCTAGGCTTGCTATCACCACCCAACATCACAAGACAATCATTAGCCCAGGAAAAGATCAAAATTCAGAGTATGGCTTCTACAGAATGTGTATCACTTTCACACCATCAATAAATAAAAAACACTTGTAAGTCAGGGACCTTCCATATAGGATACCATCTAAGATAAGAAATCACAGCATTTAAAGGTCACAACATAGTCTTCTGGGTTCTAGGCAGGTCACAGCAGGGTTCACACACACAGCAATGGTGCC